AAATATTCAATGGGGACTTTATTTAAATGCTTATAGAATATGGTTAGGATGAACTGTTATAACATATAACAAATTAGATAAATGACACACACGCACACACACACACACACACACACACACACACACACACACACACACACACACACATTGGTATTAATGTGCAAAAACTTGTTCATCTGAGAAAAGTACAAAAATAGTTATTAAGTATTTGATTAATGAAACGGGTATTTGAATTGTATACAAAGTAGTCTCTTTTTAATGTCTGGAATAAAACTGACAAACAATTGCTCACTTTTAATGTAGTTGTTTTTATTGTCCTTTACATACGTCCGTTTTAGATTGACTATAAAATGTATGAACATTAAAAACGACGGGTACTCAAACTGAGCTAGATTAGTTTAGGCCTCCTTACAACACTGAAGAAATGAAAACCCTTAACTAGACAGTTTAATCCAGGGCTATTCACTCTGGGCCTCGAGGGCCGGTATCCAGAACATTTTAGTGGTTTCTCTGGTCCAACACACTGGATTCAGCGGTTGAATCACCTGCAGCAGCTCATCAGGCTCTGCAGAAGTCTGTTGCAGCAGCTTAAAACCAAACCGTGCTGGATACCGGCCTGTATTTAGGCCACAACGTGTTAATTTCCTTCTGCATCTTCAGTTGTTTCAGCTGAAGGCAGTCATGAAGACCTCTGATGTTGCTGTTATTCTGCCAGTGTGTTTGCGCCTACATCGAGTTGTTATGGTTACGCAGCACCTCTGCGTAAAGTACCTCAATGAGCATTCTGTGTAATTCATTCAGAATTGATCTCCTTCCTCCAAACTGTGAACACGCACATTTACGGAGTGTGAGGTCCCTCACAGAATAGACGGATCACATTGTTGTTGGTCATATTTGACCTAAAAGGTATCTCTTTAAATGTCAGCATGCATTATGGTGAAAACACGGTGAAACATTTATGAAGGAGCAGCACAAGGTAGCATGGTGCAGCCATTTTTTGTTGTCTGACAGCAAAAAGGTCCCTGGTTTGAATCCCACGGCAGCCACTGCATGTTCCACCCATGCATGTGTGACTTTTCTTATGTCTCAGCTTCATCCCAGGCTGATCAGAGGCTCTAAATTGCCCCAAGGCTGAATGAGCGTGGGACTGGTTGAAAGCCCTGTGATGGACCGGCTACCTGGCCCCTGCCTGCCTGTCGCCCAATTAGCGATGGGTACCGAATTCGGTACTTTTTGAGGTACCGGCCGAATTCCATAGTACCGACCGAGCACCGATTCACGTCATTTGAAACGGTGCCTCGTTTCGGTACCCGTCCTTGATAACGAGAACTTGCCTAGACAGCTGCGCATGCGCAAGAGCGTTATGTCGTCGGTCGCTGCGAGCCAGTTGTAAACAGAGCAGCATGGTAGAAAGAATGCACGCTAACGCTTGGGTCCACTTCACTAAATGTGATGGGTAACTGGGTGATGATGAAACCAGCGACAACGATCTAAGTGAGACATCCTCCTCTTAATCTGCTCCGGTAGGTAAATAAAATGTTTAAGATAATGTTAGCTTGATATGTTAGCTTCCGTTCCGCTAATGGTGCGTTCGATTTCTCCTCGGAACTCCGACTTTCCGACTAGAAGAACACGAACGCGCTCTAAAGTTTGGCTTCACTTTACTAAATGCGACGGGTGATTGGGTGAAGATGAAACCAACGACAACGATCTAAGTGTGAGGCATCATCGTTTTAATCTGCTCCAGCAGCTAAATAAACTGTTAAAGATAACGTTAGCTTGATATGTTAGCTTCCATTGCCGCCATTGTTATCAGCTAATGGTGCGTTTGCTTTCTCCTCGGAAATTCTAACTTCCCAGTAGGAAAAATCAGTTGAAAAAAAACGGCAACAGGAATGAAGATACACAGTAAATTTAGTTCACAGTAAAGATGTTTGCTTCAGTTTAATTATCAGCTTATAAAACTACAAGGACAATGTTAAAATACAAACAGTTGAATGTTATTTATCGTGATATTTATCAAATATGGTTATATATTGAGAAAAATATATATTTAATTATAAAAGAAAATTAAAATATTAAACACTCAAAAGTATCGAAAATTGGCACCGTTAAGTACCGGTATCGATTCCTAGGTACCGGGAATTAGTACCGAATCAATTCAAATGTCAAAGGTACCCATCCCTACGCCCAATGACCTCAGGCTCCCTGTGACCCTGATAGGAATGTAACGGTGCAGATAATGGACGGAAGCACCATTTAGGCAGGATGAATTGTCTAACACGTCGATGAGATTGTGAAAAGTCGTTAAACTAGAAGGATATCTGGAATAACAAGGGCTCTGAATTTTTCTGCTTTAAATATGCAAATAACAAATAATCTCATTATATGTGCATTGATTAGCATAAACCAACATAATGTGGTAAAATACATACAGATATCACATATTCATCTTTTGCCAGAAAAAAGAGAACACAATAAAGAGCTGAAGGTGTTAAGTGGCTGAGTTGACACTAAATGAATCACATTTATTAAAGAGATAAAGATTACTCATTTTAATAACATTCTTGCAGCGCTCCATCTACTATTCCACCCACTTATCTTGTTCAGTTTTAGATTATTCAGACTCATTGATATAGAGTCCTCCCATCCCTCTTCCCTCCTCAGTGACCAGTTTCACTTCAAACACCTAACAATACTTGTTGCTTCTCAGATGCAATCCCACCCTCCGTCCACAACGTTCAGTTTTCATGACTCTCGCTTTTCCCGTGTAGAAAAAACCGTGTCGGTGTGACGATGAGCTGTTTTCAAATGAGGAGTTTTTAATGTTTTCACTGACCCAGTAAAGCAGCTTTGAGATTCAGAAGTTTCCTTCCCTTCGTTGCATTTGCTCCATCTTTCTTCCCCTCTTAAACTTCCATAAATCTCTCCCACTCTTGATCGAATGCTACTCCAATTTCTGCTGGCGTCCCATTTCCCTCATTTGGCACGTACGTGCCACCTTTTACTTCCAGTGTCTATCTCTCACTTGCACTCATGTAGAAAATGCATATGCCTTCATAAAATAAGCAGTCCCTCAAGCTCAGCGACAAGAACCCACCAACTCAAACTCGCCTGTGTTGCCAAACTATTCGAATTAACAAATTCTGACATTTAAGTGAGCGCAGTCATGCGTGAGCCCTAAACACACACAAAACCCTAGCTGTTAGATGTTTTGGGGGTTGGAAGGGGGCGCACCCCTCTGCAGCAGGGGAGTTAATGACCCCACGTGATCAATAATTCATTAAGCTGTCAGTTTGTGTGTCTGCGCGACTCCCTATGTGTGCTGGCATGTTTTGAGAGCACGTAAGTATGAACGCCAAACTCTCCCAGTAAGCAGTTTCTTTCCCAGGGAACGGCAGATTAAGAGGATTGACTCCGTAATGGATTAACCTCCGGAGTTTTGTGTGCGTATGCATATGTGTGTGTGTGTGTGTGTGTGTGTGTGTGTGTGTGTGTGTGTGTGTGTCGAGCAGGATCAGAGTGCCCATGTATGAATTGATTAGTCTAAGAAGCTCTTCTCCTTCCCTTTTAATGACCACATCAGCATTTTTTCACCACAAGCTGGATAAATGTGGAACTGTCTGTCAAGGAAACGAGACACCGCCCCCTTTAAGCAGGGTTAGCTGTCACTCAAATATCACTCTTGGGAAGACTCCCCATGGACTGCAGAGACCCTGCTGTGTCCGTATGTCTACAGTGATAGATTGTGCCTGCGTCTGTGTATTATTGTGCGCGGTGGAGTGGTGACCGACCAGCTCTTCGCAGCATTTATTTGTCAGCTTTTAACTGCAGCTTCCGGAGAGGAGGCCAAAGCCAGCGCTTCCATTAGATATGCAACAGATACTGTTTATGGAATAAATATGTATGCTAAATGGAAGAAGGACAGCAGCTCGAGAAGGAAAACAGAAAGACAAAATGACCAATTACCCAGTTGGAAGAAAGTGTTTTCCCACTCCCTCTATATGTCTTTGCTCTGACTGAACTCATCAGGGGTTCTTGCAAATGGTCACACGTACGTATAAAATAATGCATGTATGCAAAGTTCACCCAGCAACAGTATGGGCTTGATTCATGTGCTCTGCGGTGGAATCAGCCTTACGCGGTTCTAAGATTTGACACACACACACACTCCCTGAGTGAAGGACCTCAGGATTGCACAATCACAACAACAACAACAACACACACACACACACACACACACACACACACACACACACACACACACACACACACACACACACACACACACACACACTGACAGCCACTTAGTGGAGATAAAGTATTTAGGACGTATGTAAACTAATATCAGATGTAATGGAGGTGACTGATCAACAGAGAAGCTTGAGTGTAGGAAAGAGATGATCAAAGAAAAAAAATAGAAAAATTATTTTTTTTTTCAAGCTTTGTAGATCTTCTTATGTGGAGACATGATGGCGTTACAACCATCTTGGTCAAATCCTGGAAAAACAAAGCTTTGTGAGAATCCAAGTGATGATGTCACAAATGCTATTAGCAGCTGACTCGTAAAGTTCAACTTGCTGGGTGTTTCATTAAAACTTGTCCAGTGGTCCCTGAGATATGTTGCTAAGCAACACAGAGGGTTGCCTCCAACAATAAGACTTGAGAAATGGTTCAGGGCTTGGGGGACGTTATGGGAAGAGTACTCTTGATTACTGGATGTAAGCTTAGCTAAATATCAGTAAATGTGTTGGTTGTTATAAGCATCCTGTAGTTTTCTAACATCAATTGGCAATCTTGAAATAGGTTGACTTCTGTTTTCGATGTACTTTCAGTGAATACTTGATCAAGTTTTGTGAAAATCTTTGCAGAGGTTCTTCAGATTTTTGCCTAACAGACCAAGATTAAACAAGCGTGCAGGGACGCGGGCAAAACCCTGCCTTTTGGCTTTCAGTGTTGGGTAAAACTAAAGAAGGTGATAGTAAAAACAGTGGTCCTACCTGTTTGCTGTACTTGTTTCCAGTCTGGCAGCTGTAATCTGAGCACTGGTCAGATCCCAGAGACATGGCGTCAGCGTTGCCACTACCCCCAGTGCTGCTGCTGCTGGAGCCGGCACTCCCCACACATCCACTGCCCACAAAGGTGTTGGAGGGAGGCAGCTCCTGGACTGCCTGGTGTTTCTTCCCCTCTGCTGGGGGCGAGTGGGGCTGCAGGTTGACTGCAGGCAGAGGTGAGCTGGATTTGTAATGTCTGGCCAGATCAGGGCTTGACTGGTGTCTCCTTCCGCCGCCCATTCGTGGGCTGCCAGGGTCACCGTCCACAGCACAGTAGCGGGCTGCCAGGCGCTCACTGGCACTGCTGAGATCTTCTTCCTCGTCATCATTGCCATGGCGACGCAGACCGTTGACTGTGACGATGCCGCTATAGAGAGATCTGTCCGACTTCCCTCCACCTCCAGCCATTCCGCCACCTCCAGTGCGTTTATCTCGTCGAGGTTTACGTCCACGGTCTGATCCCCCACATCGGCTGACCTGTGGCTGAGCCCCTGAAGGGCTGAAAAAGTCCTCCTCTGGCTCCTTTTTTCCAGCTTCGTAACCATTCTTACCCTGAGCACCGCACTGTCTAGCTGTGACCACAAGCAGAATAACCAGGATGACCGCCGCTGCTCCGGCCAGGACACCGATGGCAACGCTGAGGCGCTGTTTTCCCAGGGCCCGCTCACTATCTGGGTCTCCAGCGATGTCCATTGACAGTGGAGCCATCAGGCTCCGGGCCACCTGGGATGGAAAGAAGAGGAGATAAATCATCTGAAAAAACTGAAGGCAAGTAAAGAAAAAAAAAGACCTTTCTAGAAGTGCGTCTGTTAGAGATGCCACAGTGGGTGTGAGCCACAGAGAGACATCAAACAGCATCTTCCTCTTAATTATACTTATCATTCTGTTTAGTGTGGGAGCTTCACTGTTACTCCCAGACACTCAACGTCACTTAATGTAATATCTCTTGCCTGCAAGTTGCAGCATTTTCAGGCTGCATCTAAAATCCTTCACTTATGATCTCGCATCTTCTACAGAGGTTCAAGGAAATACCTAGGACTACAGCGTTTAAAGCTGATTAAAAGAATAAAAGAGCAACTTTAGACATGGAGGCTAGAAGCAAGAAAGAAAAATGGCAAATAAATGTGAAAATCAAGGCAGGAGAAGCAGGATGTCTACATCCTCAGGCACCAACACATCTACTGTCTCATCAATAAACAATGTCCCTATTGTAAATGATAGCGTAGGTGTGGATTTGTTAAGGATTCGCTATCACAATGTCTGTACTGAGAATTGGATGGGTAGACAAAGAGGAGGGTACTTAAAACGTGTTCTTTTTAAAGCCATTTCTTTTTTGCTTCTTTAAAGGTCTTAAATTCTGTTCTGTTAAGCTAATAGCTCTTTTTGTTGTGAGGCAAATCCGAGCAAATCCATTTAAATATCTAAAGTTGTTACAAGGCTTTTATGTTTTTTTTGAGAATAAATCAGTGTGTTTACATGCAGCCAGTAACCCTTTTAAAACCCGAATATTCACAATAACCCGGTTCCGCAGGTCCATGTAAACACCGCCAAAAACCCGGATATGCTCATAAACCCGGTTACTACACCTGGGGTAACCCTTTTCTAACCCGAATGTTTGGTCGTGTAAACGCATATCGGGATATCCCCATCAAAGCGTGTGTTCTGCGCATGCTCTGTTCGCAAGGAATCTTGGTCTTTTGAGTAGCGAGACGTCTTGTATGCGCCAGAACACCGGAAGTAAACAAGTTGGGAGCAAAATGGCGAGTCGCGGCACAGCACCACACTTTTGGAGTGACGAGGAAACTAAAGCGCAAACAAACACGGTCGCTATCTCTTCCGAACTGGGAAACATGTTGTTGTTTTCACGGATACCGGAACAAGAAGAACCGGAAATGACGCATATTGCGTCTGGACGTAGTCCATACGTCCTGACGCTACCCCAATGTCCGCATTTAAATCGGGTTATGCAAGTTAGGGGTAACTCTTTCTATTTATGCTTGTTAACAGGTTATTCTGATCAACTCAGAAACCCGAATACCGACCCTAACCCGGATATTGGCTGCATGTAAACGTACTCAATGAACTCCAGTTAAGAAAGCATGAGAGCGTCCATAAGAGCAACTCAAGCTGGCACACTAACAAAAAGATCATTTTAAAAAACAGGGTCATGGTGCAACACAAGCACGCCATTTTCATCAACAGGGGATGACGGGACTGTAAAGTTCTGCTCGGCAGAGTCATACTGGTCACCTTCTTCCCGAGAGTCATTACGCAAACCGAACACAAACTCACGCACTGGGATGCATATGCATGCACATATGCAAGTCCACACTGAGCCTAAGCTGTCTGTTAGGGAGACAACTCATTTTGCAGCTTCAGCCTTGTCTAGGAGCTCTCACAACAAAGCCTTCCGCCTGGCTGGGCTGGAGATGACAGACTCGTGTAATCCCTGCTCCAATAAGAGCCAGCCCGTAATAAGGTTTGTAGGAACGTAAAAGGGCTGAGAATGAGCCCCAAGGCTTTGAAGTAAAATTAACTATCTAGCTGTTGCAAAGAATTTGGTTTTCCAACTAAACTTTGGAACTTGCTTTCCAAGAAATATTCCAACCCACTGCGTCTACATTAGTCACTCTCTCTCTACTCATTTCCCCTGAGCCAACAGTGACATTGTGTTATTTTTCATTGTTTCATCACCATCTGTCTTGAGGTTTAAGTTTCACTGTTGGTGAGTTGTATTGGTTTTGCTCTATTGTTCTGTTTCCACTGCAGAGGGCCTCTCTGCCAGACTCTGCTCTCTCATCAGCCCCGTTGCTCTTCTTTTGCCTGCAGTACTGCTTCTGCCGGGCATCTTTGGAATGCCGCCTCCCTGCTCCCTGCACTGACTCCCGTATTGTGTGTGTGTGTGTGTGTGTGCAAGACAAAGAGAAAAAGAGCAGCACAGCGTCATACGTACACATGCTACATGACAGCATGGTGCGAATTGAGTTTGCAAGGCATATGTGGTGCAGAAAAGTGTTAGAGGGTATGTGCTTGTGAGTCAACTCAGATTAGTGAGGCGGATTCACTGGCTGCAGCTCGTGTGAGCCCAGAAGAGTTGAGGTGGGCTTTGCATGTCTGCAGAAAACTCAGTGTTCTGACTTATAAGCAGCATCCAAATGCATCCCCAAATCCCAGTGGAGTACTTGATTCTGCTGTGTGTGTGTGCTTTCCCACTGGACTTAACATGCCTGTCTGCCTCCTGCAATCTCCAAGGATTAGATTTTTATCATGTCACCGCATGCCTGGGTATTTGACCGAAGCAGGGGTTCCCCCATGACCCCACCGCTGACCTCTTGCTCAGAAAACTCCAGATCTTTGATGCCACTCAGAACATTTACGGCTATCCATTACACTTTAAAGGGAAGACAGGACGCACTTATCGAAAGACACCAAAGCCAACTCAGTGATCTTAAGATGAGAAATCTGATCTGAAATCAAACACAAAGCTGAAGCGGTATCACTAAAAGTGTTAATCAGCTTTACAATGCAGCGCACTTCTTACACACAAAGCTCCTGAAAGGTTCCCAAATGACAACAATGACAAGCACGGACTAAAATGTCAATTTCCTCTTTCTCGGGCTCGAACCCTGCAGCATAATATTACAGATAATTACCAAACATGTGGTTCACCCAGTACTATTGGATAGAAAGGACTGGAGTCATTTTCTGCTGCGGTGCTGCAGCAGCAGCAGCCGCTTTCGTTCCCTAATTGCATCTGGCACCCATCCACCACCCGGTTTGACTTCATTATGAGATGGAGGTATTCTCTCTTAAATGACTTCTACTCAATTACACCAAGTTCCTCCCTACAATCAAACTAAACTGTGCATGTTGTATTCAATGACGGCTTTCACTGCAGCTTAGGCGTATTACACCCTATTGTTTGATTTAATAGTCCCGGTCATTTAGGCTCACTGCTGATAATTCCACCTCTTACCGAGAGTTCTCTTCTAATCCTCACCTCCTTGATTTTTCCCCCTTTTTGTGTTTGTCAGCGTCGCACGCATGAGGTGTTCTTCTCGCGGCTAGTGGTGAAATCCTACAGCTTTGATTTCCACCGAGTTGTTTGTTCAGAAAGTTATTGTGACATGAAATGATGCTAAAGCTCTCAGCCTGCGATTATACAGAAGAGGTTCTTTCTTTCTTGTTGCTCAAAGGCAACATTTAGCTTTAAGTGTTATTCAAAACAAGCACAGTTCAATTACAGGGCCCTCAAAGCTGGATTTTACTCATTTTAACATGACTGTCCATAAAATCAACACTGGCATGAAAGTTGGTGGTACTCAGGTTTAGCAGTGCGAGTTGTAAGTGAGGTCTTAGAGATTGTGATCTTTGTCATCATGGAGTAAAACTTCCAGAGAGGCTAAATGACACAAACTCAAAAGTGGCAAAAATTCCTCACGCAATCTATAATTGCTGTATTGGTTTCACTCTCAGACATCAACTTTTTTTTTCCAAACCCAATTTTGCAACCATCCAGTCAAGTTACACTGATGTCATATCTCTACAACTCCAGTATAAGTGCAGGAAAATGCACAATTATAGATATGTGGGTATGTCAGATAAATGCATTTCACCTGTAGTAATTTCAAAATAATTAGCTTTTATGACATTTAGCAATAACTTTAACATGGCTTAAGAGTGCTAGCATTAATGTTAATCATGGTGCATTGAAGTGTGTTAAATATTAGCCAAGCTTACTTTGGGTTTAAAGGGACAGTCGAATGGAGTTAAATTACAACTGGAAACTGATCTTTGAGCATCTATAAAGCATATAATGTTGTTGGCGCTTATAATGTCCCAGTAGCCCAGATAAATGGCCAAATAAAAGATTCATAATAAGCCTCATTATATAAAGACCTGTTATTCCCACCCACTCCACCAGGACATGAATGGTCAGTGAGCTGCATGCTGACTAGCATCTAATTGACTACCTGGGTATAATTGAGTGTGTGTGTGTGTGTGTGTGTGCGTGTGTGTGTGTGTGTGTGTGTGTGTGTGTGCTCGTGCACGCGCATGCATACATGTTTTGATGGGGGGGGGGGGGGGGGGGGGGGGTATGTTGGAGGCTTTGAGTGCTAATTCAGCCAACAGGGGAAGGGTTTGAAGAGAGACCAGTGAATGTAAACTCAAGGTTCCTCAGTAAGTCCCCACTTAGAGACATTGTATATTTTTACTGTTAATCTCTGAAAATATCCATCAAAATGTTGTTGAAAATGAATTAAATGATGCCCAGTAGATGAAATATTGGTGGCTTTGTAATATATCACCATAAACATTGGGTCTAAAATGCATGGGAGCAGGTCTACTTCTCTGGGTGATGCCATATTAGATGCCATGTTTCCTTCTACCGTCACCTCCTTGAACCATCACCTTTTCGTGGTGGAGGAGTTTGAGCGCCCTAATGATCCTAGGCGCTATGATGTCTGGGGCACTTTGTGCCCCTGGTAGGGTCTCCCATGACAAATGGGCCTTAGGTGAAGGGTGAGACAAAGAATGGTTCAGAAGTTCTTTCATGGATGTAAAAACAAAGAGTCAGAGTACCCGGCCCGGAGGGTTACCGGGGTCCCACCCTGGAGCCAGGCCTGAGGTTGGGACCCGTGAGCGAGCGCCTGGTGGCCGGGCTTTCGCCCATGGGGCCCGGTCGGGCCCAGCCCAAACCGGATACATGTTCTCATCCAACT